ATTTTGAATGTTTATATGGCATGTCTCTATAAATCATGCAGAAGAATTTTCTTTTTCTGAAGGACAATGAAATGAGGTTCGCTATGTTAAAGTGTCACAAATATTTAAGTGCATTTAGATCACAATTATTATTAGAGTTACCTTGGAATGATTTATGGCCAAATTTAACATAACTTCTCATTACTGTTTTGTCACCTCTTCTTTTTATACAAGTAAGGTTTCTTTGGGTTTATAGTACTAGGTCCATTGAAGTTTTATTTATTTTCAGTAAGGAGGACAAGAGAATGATAGTCTAGAGACCAGATTTTGATTTGTTTGCTGCTGTCCAACAGCACAGTGCCTCGGAGTATCCACTTATAGTAATGAGTATAAGTAGTGCTATCACTATCACTATATTTAAACACCCATGGTTGGCTGGAATGTGCTAAAGTGTGAATATAACATAGTTAATTATGTCATTGTCTGCGCCCAGGGCAACTACTGCTGAAAGGACATACTTACACCATGAGGAAGATAGCAGATGTGTTCGTTTGGAGCTGAGTGCTACTTCATTGCTGGCTCATGTAAAGAGGTTTAGGATATTGATTATGTGTTCTAAAGAGCACCTAGCAGTTATCATCTTGAATATTAACTTCTCACATGGGTTTTTAAATTACATTTTAAATGCTCATTCTTATATCTCTTTTTAGTTTTCCTCACGGGAGAAAAAGCCAATTCAGTATTAAAACGCTACCCAAGAGCTAACGGATTTCTTGAAGAAATAAGACAAGGCAACATTGAACGTGAATGCAAAGAAGAAATCTGCACATTTGAAGAAGCAAGAGAAGCTTTTGAAAATAATGAAAAAACTGTAAGTATATTGGCAAAAAAATTAAAATTTTTATAGATTTGCCTAACTTTTAGATGTGTATTTGAAATCTGTATTCCCTAAGTGTGTGCATTGCTAACAATTAAAAATTACCCCTGTGAAGAACTCTGAAACTGGCCTCTAACTAATGCTATGTGGATAAGAGGGCTGGCTTCACTTCCCTGTGTGCTGGTCTGTGTTTAAAGGCTGTTTCCATAGGATTCTGCTGAGCTGAGTTTTAGCATCTTCACAAGGGGGAAGCATTTATTTCACACAAGGCTTTGTTCTGGAAAGTTATAGATAACATCATCATCTTACTCCGTCTAATCAGAGAGAAGTGTGGGGGAAGCTAATGGATGCTGACACTGTTTTAAAACGTTTTACTTCTGTTATGAAAGAAAAGATATATACAGACTTCCTTCTCCACTCCCATGAGAATACTCGTCTTTACTCTAGACTACATGCCATTCAAGGGGAGCTGGGATGGTAAAGCACAAGGTGGTGCTGCAAATTCTATAGACCTGTTCTATAGTTGGAAATTATATTACCAGAGGTAACCATTTATATAGAGACCCATGCCTGCACATCAGAAGGGTGTGTTAGACCATGAAAATAACACTTGATTCTAAACAAGTCATGGCAGACGTGCTAGAGGGGCAGCAAATACATCTCAGGAGCAAAGGATGCAGAAGAGTTTTAAAGATAGAGGGGTTTTGATCTCTTATCAGGTAGAAGGGCCTGGGCGTAAGAGGAAGTAGGTCAAGGAAAGCTGATCAGAGAGACATGACTGCTAGATTCCAGTGTGCACAGCAAAGCAAAATCAGTTTATAAATCAGTAAGTCATGAGCTTCATTGATTTTTGGAATCCCTGGGTGGTATAAATGGTTAATACACTCAGCTGCTAGCCGAAAGGATGGAGGTTCAAGTTCAAGGCTACCCAGAGGTGCCTCGGAAGAAAGGCCTGGCAGTCTATTTCTAGAAAACCAGCCATTGAAAACCCTGTGGGGCACAGTTCTACTCTGACACACAGGGGGTCACCATGATTCAGAATTGACTTAACAGCAATTGGTGGTTCATTGATTTTTCGTCTTATTTAAATTACACAATTAAACACATAGGGGAAAGAAACTATCATCCATAATTCCATCATGTAAGCACAAAGCACTGTTTGGCTTTTTAATTTCTTTCCAGCCTTTTTTCTTATGCATCTGTTTGGTTCTTGTTGGTTTCATTTTATATAGCTTGCTGTTTTTTTTTCTTCTTAATGAAATTCATTCATGTTCACTGTAGAGAAATTGAAAAATATAGTAAAGCATGAAGAAAATAAAATCTCTTGAATTTTTAGCACCACCAATTTGTTTTTAATTTTAATATAAATAATTCTGGCTGATTTTTAATGCATAGATAATTTTTTAATGAGAGAAATAGGGTAGATAGTGTTTTGTAACATGCAGTTTTAGATAACTGACCATACATATTTTCCATGTAATTAAGTAATATTCTACAACATTAATTTTTGTGTCTCTTTTACATAGCCATAATCATATTTAAAAAAAATTTAATCCTACTTATTGTTTCTTTTTGTGTGTAAACCTTTACATGAGTTTTTATAGTAGTGGTCTCAAACAATATTTGTCCTTTTGTGACTGACTTATTTCACTCAGCATAATGCCCTCCAGATTCATCCATGTTGTGAGATGCTTCGCAGATTCATCACTGTTCTTTATTGTTGCACAGTATTCCATCGTGTGTATGTACCATAGTTTGTTTATCCATTCATCTGTTGATGGGCACCTAGGTTGTTTCCATCTTTTTGCTGTTGTGAACAGTGCTGCAGTGAACACAGGTGTGCATGTGTCTATACATGGGATGCCTCTTATTTCTCTGGGATATATTCCTAGGAGTGGGATTGCTGGATCATATGGTATTTCTATTTCTAGCTTTTTAATGAAGAGCTATTTGTTTTCCAAAATGGTTGTACCATTTTGCATTCCCACCAGCAGTGCATAAGAACTCCAATCTCCCTGCAGCCTCGCCGACATTTGTTATTTTCTGGTTTTCCTGATTTGTGCCAGTAATATTGGGGTGAGATGGTATCTCATTGTGGCTTTGATTTGCATTTATCTAATCGAACTGCCGACCTTTTGGTTAGCATCCGAGCTCTTAACTACTGTGCCACCAGGGCCCCCTTTTAGCTACACAGTTAGGGAAAAAAATTTACACACATATATACATGTGCATGCATATAATGTCTATATATACATAAATATATATATGAAGTCACAAGTTCATCCTGATAATCTCCAATTCAAATCCAGACCCTCAGGGTTCTTCCTTGCTTTCCCCAATCTGTGTTTGTATTTCCTTTCTTCCACAACAGAAACCTTGTCTCCTGACAACGTCAGTGTAATAACTCATTTGCTCAGTCCTTCAGTACACACACAATGGTTTCAGAATGGTAATACCCATACCAGTGTGGAGAGGGGGAAAAATTTATATCATTTATTCATCCATCTGTCTGTCCATCAGTCCATCCATCCATCTATCCATCCTGGAGATCACTCCATATGTATTAAGAGATTATCCTAATATTTTAAAAAGCTTGCTTGTAAGGATGTGCCACCGTTTACTCAACCAGTCTCCTGTATTTGGGTATTAAGTAGTTTCAAGTAGTTTTACAAGTACAGATAGTGCTGCAGTAAATAACCTTGCGCATATAAAATTTTGCATTCTTGGTGGTATATCTTCAGAGTAAATTCTTAGAAGTGGGATTACTGGTCAAAGGGTCAGTGCATATGTGGTTTTGTCAGATGTTGCTAAAGTTCCCTCCTTAAAGGTTGTACCATTTTGCATTCCCACCAGATATATGAGAATGCCAATTTCCTCACAGGCTCACCAGCAGAATGTATTTTGAAATGTTTGCCAATCTGTTGGGTGAGACATGATATCTTGGTGTAGTTTCAATTTGCTTTCCTCTTCCAAGGGCAATTGCACATTTTGCCATGTGTTTAAGGGCCAGTTTTATATCTATCTTGTGAATTGTCTTTGTCTTTTGCCTATTTTTTTCTATCAGATTTGCTTTTTCCCCCCATTAAAAAAAATTCTTTATATATTAGAGATATTAGCCTTTATGATACACATTTCAATATTTTCTCCCATTTGTCATTTGTATTTTGACTTTACCTGTGATCCTTTTTTCCATGCAGTTGGTTTTCATTTTCATTGTAGTCATAAATTCAATAAATCTTTTATTGAAACTGGAGTTTGAATCATAGAAAATGTTCCCCTACACCCCAATTATAGAGGAATTTACACACTTTTAATATGTTTGAGTTTTTACATTTAGATTGCTGATCTACTTGGAGTTTATTCTTGGGTACGGTATGAGTTTAGGAAAAAAAACAAAAACAAAAACAGCTACCCTTGAGTCGATCTGACTCACGATGACTCCATGTGTGTCAGAGTAGAACTGTGCTCAATAAGGTTTTCGTTGGCTGATTTTTTGGAAGTAGATCACCAGGCCTTTTTTCTGAGGCACCTCTGGGTAGACTTGAACCTCCATCCTTTAGTTAATGTTAACCATTTGCAACACCCAGGGACTCCATGGTGTGAGTTAAGGATCTTATTATTCCATTTGGCTACGCAGTTATCCCAATACCATTTATTAAAACGTTTCTCTTTGCTCTGGTGATTTGAATTACCCTTTATCATATACCCAGTTTCCATATGTACTTATTTAGTCTATTTTAGGACTTCGTATTCTCTTCCATTGGTCCATCTATCTGCTGAAATGCTGGTAACACACTGTGTTAATTATAGAGGATTTATAATATATTTTAATATAGATTAGGGCTAGTTTACCCATGTAGTGCTTCTTTTCAGAGCTATTACTGAATACTTATTTTTCCATTTAAACTTCAGTATTAACTTGTCTAGCTCCAGAAAAAAAAAGCTTGTCAGTATTTTTATTAGAATTCAATTTTTACATTAACTTAAAAGAGAATGGACATCTTTAAGAGATTGAGTCACCTTCTCCAAGAAGATGAGATTTCTTTCCATTTGTTGAAGTCAGCTTTTCTTTTGAGAGTGTTTTATAGTTTTCATCATATAGATGTCACAACTTATTTCTTAAATTGGCTCCTAAGTATTTATTGCTGTTGTTGCTATTGTAAATGGAGCTTCTTTTCCATGATATTTTCTAACTGGTTATTATTGGTGAATGTAAAAGCTATTGATTTTTTAAAAAGCCTTATTGAGTTATAATTGACATGATTAATTGCACACATTTAAAATGTAAAATTTGGTAAGTTTTAACATATATATATATACACATACACTGGTGAAACCATTACAACAATCAAGATAGTGAAATTATCCATCATATCCAACTTATATGTGTAGTTTTTAAAGACACTTCCCAAACTAATTTCCAGAGTAGCTGTCCCATTTTACAGTCCCACCGGCAATGTATGAATGATCCAGTTTTCCCTCATTCTTGCCAGCATTTGGTGTTGTCACTATGTTTTATTATAGTCATTCTACTAGGTATGTAGTGGTATCTCATTATGGTTTTAATTTGCATTTCACTGGTGGCTAATTATGTTAAACATGTTTTCATGTGCTTATTTATCATCTGTATATCCTCTTCAGTGACATGACTCTCCATGTCTTTTGCTTATTTTTTAATTGCATTGTTTGCTTTTACTACTGGAAGTTCTTTATATATTCTAGGTACAAGTACATTGTCAGCTATGTGGTTTGTAGTCAATTGATTTTTATGTGTTCATTGTATATCCTGCTACCTTACTGACATCATTTATTGCTTGAATTACTTTTATCATCCCTCTTAAGGTGAACAATGCTGTTAATGCTCGCCTCTCTGGCCCTTATACATCCCATTGCTTCTGTCTATCCTCTCCTGCCCGCAGAGACAGGAGCTGCATTTCAAAAATCTTTGAAGCAAATAGAGGAAAATCCTTCAGCTATGAGAGAATTGCTTGAGCAATTGCGCTGCCCTCTCCAACACACCTTTTCCTCTCTATAGAATCATTCTCATTAGCTACATAGATCTTAAAAAAAAAAAATAATGCTCTTGACCCCACATCCACCTCCAGCAGCCATCTCATTTCTTGGAACCCTTCTATCTCTACCTACCCTCACTCCCCTGGTGATATTTCCTAATCTCCTGGCATGAAATGCTAATGACCCCACATTTATATCTCCACCCTGGATGGCAACCTCTTGCTCCTTCCCTAAGTTATTTTTCGTCCCAGCACTATCATCATCTGACATCTGTTTGTTGTATTTGTTTAATTTTGCTCTCCCTCCAGGACTTTTAGCTCTATGGCAGCAGCATTTCTTGTTTTGTTCATAGTGATGGTCCCTAGCATATAAAACAGTGCTGGCATGTAATAGGGGCTAAATGAATATTTGATGAATGAATGAAGGAATGAACGAATGGATGGATTGGCACAGTATGGAGTACATGTAATTTAAAATTTGTTTAAAAGTTGGCTGATAGATGTACATTTTAAAGTGCTTTTTATTACATTGGTTTTTTTGGTCTGGTTCCTTCTTTATAATTTAAAGCCTGTCGTCCGAGTTTGCGTATGCCATTAAAAAACATACCATTTACAGTAAGGTGTGCCCAAGGGCTTTTGGTCTAATAAGTGAAATAAAAATGATCTATGATTTCAAAGTAATTTCTGTTATAGGTTAAGAAGTATCTAGCACTGCACAACAGTTTCATCTTTGAGGTTACTGACCAGTTGAGTCTGGGCAGTAAAGAAAACGACTGGCTTTTGAGATGTGCTTTCTACTCTTAGGCTACTTACTATCTTTGTGTCTACTAAAATTTGTCTCTCAGTGCAGGTTTATTCATACACATTTTTAATCACCCCTAAACTTGGACTGTGTGAATTTAGAAATTTGCTTTCAGTGGAATATCTTTGTGATTCTTTACCTAACTTGCAACGCAAGTCTAATTATAACATACAGTGGGAGAAAATGTATTATACTTGATTTTCCTCACTTTCACCCTATAGTAATTTGGATATATTTATTCAGAAGTTAATCTGCTGAGTACCTACTATGAACAGACACGGGACATACACAGTGAATAAGCAGTCTTTCCCTCATGGCTTTTGAGATCTGGTAATGACAGCAGACATACACAGGAATGCTTACATAAGCGCCATCAGAATGCCATGGCAAAATTCTCTGGTTGGATAATCGGATCTTTGATTTTGTGTCTCAGCTCTGCCACCTACTGACTGTATTGCTTTGTTAAAATATTTCACCTTTCTAGGCCTCAATTTCTGTATCTTTTAAACGGGGGAAATTATATCTACTGTATTAGATTTGGAGCCCTGGTGGTGCAGTAGTTAAGAGCTCGGCTGGTAACCAAAAGGTCGGCAGTTCGAACCCACCAGCCCTATGAAGCAGTTCTACTCTGACCTATAGAGTCATTATGAGTCGGAATCGACTTGATGGCAACAGGTTTGGTTTGGGTTTTTAGTATTAGATTTGGGGACATGCGCTT